AATCTTTAAAAGCCATCTAGTACTTTCTTCAAATCACATCATTCAATAGCAACTATTCAACATTATGCATCATTTAAATAGTGCATTAATATGTATTGTGTCCAAGAGGTTATGCAATATGCCCTTGAGATTTTTATGGCTGCAAAAGCAAAGAAGGAATCAAATTATCTAGTTGACTTTCTACATCCTTTGTATAAATAGGACATTTCCAGTCTCCACCTCACCTTGTGAGGCAAAGCATCACCCAGGAAAAGGGTATGAAAATGACCATTTTGAGGTGGTTTAGAAACCATCTTGCTCAGAGTTGGAAGACTACAGTGACTTTGGATGTCTCCACATGCTAGGGGAGACGGGCCCAGATAATCAAAGAGCTGGTGCCACTGATGAAGTCCTGGAGCCTTTTAACTTCCTCCCAGCTGAGAAGCTGGACTCGTGACCCCGCCCCGACCCCTGCTCCCACCAAGTGCCCCCTGCTTTAGCAGATACTCCTGCAGAAATCCGTTCACTGCTTACAGGGGGAACTGGCAGATAGCCTCTGAGTTCTAAGACTTCTAAAGCAAGCCATTAAATCTATGTTCTAATGTACAAGCTCTTACAGCGACGGCTGCAAATTACCATCTCTTCTAATTCCCCTCCCTTGGGTCGCAGATTCTCAGTCTTGATCATAATATATTTCTCTCTGTAAATGGGGGAAACATCGTTTCCTGGGGCAGGGGGTAGAAAATGGAGCCGGAACACTGATTGGTATCAAAATCTTCTATCATTTCATTAATATTGATGTCATCAAACCCAGAAGTTTTAAGTGATTGGGAGGAATTTGAAGGAAATGTGGGACACAGCTTCTTTGCTTTTGTGAGATGAATACATTAAGCTCTCATGATTTGTGTAAATACACAGAACGCCACAGACCTTTCTGTAGCCAAACCCTGATCTTTGGAGCAAGTGGCTTTGGAGAATAATAAAAACCGGGTATATTCTGAAATATTATCTCTGCTTTTTCTACATATCATTTTCCAAAATACCATACCAATATTTTACCTCTATAAAAAAGCTGTGTAATCACTTTACCTCGCCTGTCAAGAAGTGATGTTGGCATCTTTCTTGACAGAGAAAATATGTGTGATTTTTTTCTGAGGCAATGATCCTTCAATCTTCAGTATAAGGAAGCCAGCTTAAATTGTTATCACTTAGATTTTACAGAAATTCAGAACTAAGCTTAGTGTAAAAACTGTGGTGTTACTTTCATTCTTCAGAAAGAAAACTTTTATCAATATTACTTTGAGCCCATTTTAATCATTTAACATATCTTTTGTGGTTCTCACTGGATCAGAAGAGTTTCATTGGGTACAAATATGCCATCAGTGCTGATTTATTGGTTTTATGTATTAGACATATATATGCTTTGTGATGGTAATTTGGGCGATTCAATTTTCTATTCTTGTTATGACTTTCTACCCTCAAAGAATAAAAATGCACTGTAGATGTTACTATGGGTTCATGTGAACAGCGTGTGTAATAAAAGAACAATTGGGTGGCACCCTCTTCAAATGTGAAATTTAATTCTCCATGTGGCCCTTTGGTTCCTGCTGATCTTGAGCCCCAAACATAAAGATTCCCTGTTCAGTAACTCAGCAGTGGGGATGCCAAAACACTGGGGAGCTCAGGGAGGCCCACCGCCTGAATTCCTAGTAGTGGCACAAATTGTGGGACTCGCATGATGGTCGCATTGGCACAGTTGGGAGACCGAGGAGACTCAAGCTGACTTCCAAACACAGTTACCCTAGGGGTGCTGAAGCTCCGAAGGTAAGGGGGTGACAGGGCGGAGGCCAAGAAGCCACTGCCACCTGCCTGGGACTCAGGCGGAACTACAAAGCGAGTTGAGGAACATCTCCCTGTCTTTTGGATCTGACCCGAACTTCATAAGTAGCCTTTACCCTCCGCTGCATCTCCAGTACCCAACACATGATGAGCACTCTATCACTGTGCACCGTCATCACCACAACCACTGACATGTGAATACCGCGCGCAGGCCTCGCTGCCTGTACCCCAAGAAACACCTACGGTGGTGGCTCAAAGATTTCTCTACGGCACGTGCTCAGGGCCGGTGACGTGGTGTGATGGGGAACACTGACATGGCAAGTGCTGAGTTGTTGCTGCTATACGTTCATTTAGGGGTACTTTCTGGGGAGGGAGAGGTAATGGGGGACCAGGGCACCTCTTCCCCACAACTACTCTTCCAAGCTGCCGCTGATGACCTCATTTCTTCCTCACGACAACCTTAAAAGAGAGGAGTTATAAATCACCCTTTATAGACAATACAACTACATCCAGATGCTTAAGTAACTTGCTCAATATCACATGGCTAGAAGGGGCCAAGTTACTTCAGTATAAGTGGTCTTAAGCCAAAGGGTAATCCAAGAGCGGAGTCATCTGATCTTCTGGAAAGCTGGATTCGGGACTCAAATCCACCAAACTGGTTTTTTCCATAGATACATAAACCTGCAAAGTGACCAAGTTTTAACTTGCTTCTTCTATTTGAGCTAAAAACCAGGCTGGTTGCCCTATGTAAGAAATGCATATTTGGGCACAGATGTTATACACCTCTGGGTTCATTACTGAAACTAACAGTTAAAAGCAGAATTCTCTCCATGTCACGCATGCATGCACACATCATGCAAAGATGGGGATGGGGTAAATTCTGGTCCCTCATCCCTAAAATGGGAGGTCTGAACTAGCACAGGGTTTCACAAAGTTTGCTGTGCACCCAGATCATCTGGGCATCTGGTTAAAATTCAGATTGTGATTCAGCAGGTTTGGGACGGAGCCCAAGATTTTGCATTTCTAGCAGGCTTCCAGGTGATGCTGTTGCTGCTGGTCCACAGACCACACATTGAGGAGCAAGAGCCCTGAGTACCTGGAGGCCCCTTCCTGTTGAAAGCATCATGGCAGGTCCACCAATGGCATTCTTGGCCCCTACTCCCAGAGAGGTCATGTCCATTACTGCTCACCTGTCCAACTCCGTGCCTTCACTCCATGTAGCCACTTAATCCAAATCTCTTCCAGGTCCAGGGTGGGATCCGCATCTGTTAAGTATTCCTTAACTCTTCTTTTTTTTTTTTTCTCCCCAGTGATCATTTTCTTCTAAAGTCTTCTAGCATTAGAGATTTACTCTCTCTTGCCTGGTGTTGCTCACTGATAATTTTGGATGAAATCTAACTGAATTATAGGCTAGTAAGGCCACGTCCCCTACTTTCAAATGGTCAGCTTTTTTTTTCAGCCTCCAGTCCTCAGTGTACATGTCACTCCTTGGTGGCCTTCCCTGAATACACAGTCTAAATGACTCTCTTCCAGCTCCTTCTGACCAGTCACAGCACCCGCTTTGAATTTCTTTGTAACACTCACCAAATTTTGAAATTGTCTCCCTTGTATGTGTATTTGCTCATTTTCTGCCCACCCCCCTCTAAGAGAGAGGGGCTTTGTTCACACTGCTCCCCACTCTATCCCCTGTGCCTAGAATGGTATCTAAACATAGTAGGTGCTCAAGAAATACCTGTTAAGTAAATAAACGCAGGAATCCAAGAGCTGGGCACACAAGCAGTGTTTCAGAAAATGCTTTGTGGATGAATCAGAGACATGTCACCTGAGCACCGATCTTGGACTCTAACGTTTCTTTATTTTTGAAAACCACTTCCTTGTCTGTGTTTCTTCTTTCCTGCTGGGTACCCACAGCAGCTCACATCACAATTAATTCTGAAAGGAGATCAGACATGTGAGTTCCTATTAGTTCTCAGTAGGACAAGTCCATCTCTCCATAGTGCTTGTAGATGATAAGAAATAAGAGGAGCGACCTGAGTGTGGACATTTAGGATAACTTTGGGGAACGTAGGGCAAATTTAGCCATCAGCTGTCCTTGGCTATTCCACGGATGGAGCCCCCTCTGCAAAGCCCTTTCCTAGCTCATCTTTGATCTGCTCTCAGGCCTGCCAGCACACCCCAGTTTCTCATCTCCGACCTCAATTATTTTATAAGACACACACTCTAGCTTTGATAGTGTACATGGAAAATGGTAGAAAATGCAGGCTGTAGGGGAAAATGGAATGTACAAAAATGAACCCACTTATTAGAGAAAACAACCCCAGTTGGCCTCTAATCAAGAGCCTGGTGATCTGTAATGTTAAGAATGATCGAGGCTGAAGGCAGAGTGTAGGCTGCTCTTGCCACATGGCCACCTATCCGGAACGGAGGGAGAGTCCCCCAACTGATGGGTTCTACTGAATGCTCTGTAGACTTTTCATCATTTTCTTTCCTGTGTAGTGACAGCTTTTGGGCTTGAACTCTTTGACACCTTTCAGAAACACAAGAAACAGGCTTGATCATGACCTTGACGCTAGCATGAGTTTACCCTGTTTCCAAACTGAAGTTCTTGAAAGTGCTGCTGAGTTCTGTGTCTCAGAGGTTCACCTGTGGGCCTCCAGGGAGTGGATGGGGAGGCAAGCGCCCGTCCCTCTGGCAGGGTGGGTTTCCATGCGCAAGGGCTAGAAACAGGAACCGTGGAATCTCGAACTGTGAGAAAACCCCAGGCCAAGAGCAGCCTGGCTGTGGAAAAGCTGCCCTTACACTTCCAAGTGCTCTTGATCCATCCAGGCTCTGCTCGATGTTTTTCTGCCTCTCCTGTTCCAAAGGGAATCTGGTGAGGCTTTCATGTCCTGTTGCAGCTCACATTTTCTTTCAGGCTCTTTCCTCCTTCACATGTGCCATGGAAACATCTGTGAGGCTACCAAGGGATGTTGTGTTGGAGTTGTAGGTAAGACAGGAGGCCCAGTTACATCTGAATTTCAGATCAACGACAAATCGTTTTTAGGTTTATGTCCCATGCAATGTTTTTATTTGCGAAATCTATTGCCTAGTTTATTGCTTTTTTTGGTCATGCTTTTTCCTGTCATGTTGCTTCTTCCTGGCAGGGTATGAAGCCACGAGGAAAGGAGGAATTTTACGTCCTGTGTTCAACCTTGGGATAAACAGGTTCCTTCTTCTGTTGTCGAAAAAATGGCTTCAGAGTCCTTTCTGGGAGAGCCTCAAACCTTCAGGCTGAAGGATGTTCTCTTGGTTGCGTTTTCACAGACTTTCAAATTTGACTGCAGAGTGACGAGTTTGATAGCGGGGTTCTCCAGCAGAGTGAGATGAAAGGGCCCTGGCCAACTGCACAGTGAGGAAAGCAGCGATAGGGAGGGTGTTTTCATACTCCTGGACAGTGGGCTTTGGTGAGTGGCACCGGGCCTCCACCACGCGGACCGGCAGCAAAGTTCAATCACAGCAGCTGATTCCATAACCCCATTCCAGAGAGATTAAGTGCGGGTACGGTCCCAAGTGGATCCTGATGAATAGGAATAGGATGGGAGAGTGATGAAAACAAGCTCGGAGAGGATCTTAGGACTAATAAGGTTGAAAGCTAAATTTAATGAGCCTTTACCGCGTGCTAGGCATTGATTTACAGGAACTTTGTTTATCCTCACAAGAATGCCATGAGGTAGGGATTAGTGTCATTGTCCCAATTACAGATGAGGAAACTGAGGCAGGCAAGATTAAGTCATTTACTTACTTAAATGAAGTAGTTAGTTAGTGGAGGATACAAAGTGGGTTCCAGAACCCACTAAACTAAACTACCTCTGGTTCTGTAGCCCAAGCAATCTGTGACAGGGGGGCTTGCAGAGAGGTTGGCATTGCTGAACTGTTGAGGTAAGCCAACCCTTTCCACCTGCAGGCTCCTGGAGACCCAGAGGGGTCTCAGTGGACCCATGGCCGGTCAGCTGCTCCCCCTCGGCAGTGCTGGGAGCCCAGGCCGGGGAGCCAGGCCACATTGATGAAATGATCAGGGGAAGCAAATGGGTTGTGAATAATTTATGAAACTGAAAAAAATTACATAAGGATTGTTTTTAAGAAAGAGCAAATGAAAGGTTTCAGGTCACAGTTTAATCCAACTAAATGAAGCTCATCTTTTTCCTCTTCTTTTTTTTCCCCAAGCCTTCATTGCTCTCTGACTACAACATGTTCCAAATGTTGTCCTGAGCTCCAAGTTCTTGAGACACTAATGAATGATCACGATTAGGTAGTCTTAGCCCTTTGGTCCTTAGCAGGGACTTAGTATCCCACAATCCCAGAAATCATCCCAACTGAAATGGCCAGTGGAATCAGAAGGAAAATAACTCCGGGGGGGGGGGGGGGGGGGCAAATAAAATAACTCTACGTAACTCAGAAACCCCTAGGAATGTATGTTGATACTCTATTATTACAGAGAGGATAAAGGACTCCTCTGGAAACAGATGGGATCTGTCTGATTTCCTCTGATACCCTGAGCTAAAAACAGAGAAAATTACTGAAGGTGGTAACACTCAGGTTAAATAGAACAGCTCAGAGTTCCAAAGAGCTCAGTTTGGAAGGAAGCCTCTAAGTAATAAACCATAAATCTTATTGTAGTCATCAACATAAAAAAAAAAAAAAAAAAAAAACTAGCTATGTCCAAGGCCTGTTTATCTAGAAAAGGATTCTTTTCTTCTCCAGATCCCTCAAGTGAGTTTTAAAGGTGCAAACAATGACTATAATTTATGCAGAAATTAGAAACTGTTAATGACTTAATCCCTCTAAAATCCTAATGAAGTTCTGCAATATTATTCTCTTTATACAGATTGGCAAACAGAGGCCCACAAAGGAGAGGAGGTACCACCCATGGCCCCTGGCAGCCAGCTGTGTAAAGAAATGAGATCTCAGATCCGGTCTCTGTACAAAACACCAGATTATTATTGAGATTCAAGAAATCTGGAAGCTTGGAGCCAAAAAACCTTTACAGATGACAGCTAGACCTAGTTATTTCTCCTTTGCAGTGATTTCTCTAAAAGGAAACAATCTGATGTGGAATTTAAAACTTTCCCTATATATGGCTTGTTTTCTAGCATTCATAATCTGAGCAGGAATAGAGAAGTGGAAAGAGGTGGGTTCTGAACACCCTGATCATCACCCAGATTCACTATTTGCTTGAAAAGGGTGACAGGGGTCACCTTGCAAACAGGCAGGTGCAGAGTTTCCTTTTAGGAAACATTTCTCCTTCATCCCCTCCCATCTCCCCACCATCTCCATCCCCACCTCATATAACATGGCCCACATTTATATCACTGCATCTGTAAATGTTTGTGTCCTTATTGTTCTTTTTGAAAAGTGTATGCTTGAGCTTTAAACACAAGTGAAGGATGTGTGTATTAGGGAGGAACAATCTTGTAACTGGAACTGTGGCCAGCAAAGCCCTCCTGTGGGGATTCTGTGGATCCTTAAACAGCAAAACTCAGCATAGACAACACCCACTCCACCCCACCATCATAAGATTTCTGTCTGCACCCCAAAGTTCAGACAGCGCTTGTTTCGTCTGCTCTTCTCTTGCTTTATTCCTGAATCCTGGCTGCCTCACTTCAGTAGATAATTAAAATCTTTCTTACTTTCTCAATACTCCGTGGGGAAATTCCACTTTGAAATTCTCTTTTCCCTGTCATTTTTACTTTACAGTTGAGAGGACAGGGATGAGCTAGGAAACAGGCTATCTCTCTCTCTCTCTACCTCTCGCATTTTTAAAATGACGTAGGGACTTTGGACATCCTCCCTACCCCCACCTCCCCATCTTTGATCCTAACCCGATTCCCGGAGAATTATACTTTTCCTTTTAATGCTTGCTGATTACCGCACGGGGTGGGAGCAAGAGGGGCTGCCCAAGGAAGCGCCCCGGAACCGATTCTAATCTCCGCTGAGCCCCAGCTGCCCCGAGTGCCGGGGAGACGCGGCGGTCCCGAGGAGGCCGGTCACAAAGCCCGGCTCCGCTGGGGCGCGAGGGCATCACACACTGGCTGCCCCGGGGCCCGCGGTGCGCTCAGCGCGGCGGGGGCGCCTCCACTCAGCCGGCCCGAGTTCGCTGGGGGACAACTTACTGTGCTCGCTGTACGTCCACACCGCAAACTCCCAAGTGGGAGGGGGAGAAACAGCCCAGGCTGTCGTGTCCGAGAGTGGAGGCAACAAAAGAGGAGAGGGAAGAGGGAGGAAAGGGGGGCGGGAGGGCGGGAGACGCGGACACTGCCCCCTCTCGCGCCCCAGAGCGCCCTTCGGACGCTGGCGAAGAGACCCTCCGGGAGTGACGGCCCTTCCTTTCGGCGCCCTCCGGCCCGCTGCTCAGACAGGTAGTTAGTTGGAGGGAAAAGAACAAAGCTCCCAGCCAAGGCGGGCGGTGGTCCGGCGCGCCCCGGGGGCGGGGAAGGCAGAGGCCGAGGTGGCGCGCGCCCAGCGCTCCCCGCCGGCGTCCCCCGCCCCACGCCCCTCACCTCGCGCCCCTCACCGTCTTCACCCCCCAACCCCCCACCCCGCTCCGCCACACTCCGCCTCCCCTCGCGCCTCCTGGTCCTCTGGGAAGCGGTTCCCCCCGAAGGCACCGGCGGCGGGCTGCGGAGGAAGTGGGGGGAGCGCGGGGAGGCCGGCGCGGAGTCGGGGGGGGGGAGTGGAGCAGTGCCTGGGAGGAGGCGGGGGGCGGGTGGCCCCCGAGCAGCAGAGTCGGGCCGGTACCGACTGCCATCCTGCCGCAATTTCCCTGTGTCATGGCTCCAGTCTCTTAGCAACAGCCGCGAGTCCGGCCGCCCAGAGCCGCGCCAGCCGCCGCCGCGGGCTCAACTCCACCCGGCGGAGCCCGGCGCGCCGCAGCCACACAAAAGAGGCGCTGGGGCCCGCCCGGGAGCGCCGCGGCAGGGCTCGCGGGGAGGCGCAGGAGGAGCGGCGGGGGGGAGGACGGCTCCGAGGCAGGATGCGGGCTGCGGAAGACCTGACACTTCTTGGAAACTCTTGGAAATGGCTCCCGCCACGGCAGCGGAGGAGGCTGCGAACCTGGGGCGGGCGCTCGCCCCCGCTGGGCTGCTGAGCCGCGCTCGGCTGGTGGGCCCCGAGGCGCTGTATCTGCGCCTCGCCGTCGGCTCGGGCTGAAAAAGTTTCTCCATGGTTCCTTTGTGTCGCCCGAGCGCCCGTTCGCCGGCCCGGAGCTGCCCCAGCCTTCCCGGGTAAGTGAGCGATATTGGTTGCTTATAGTGCTGCCATTTTGAGCAATTCTGTGAGTCCCTCGGCCCCCGAGCTGCCCTTCCCCACCCCTGCGGCCCGGAGCCCCGGTGCCCCGGGCTGCTGTTCCGGGAAAGTCGTTTTCCTGGGCGGGCTGCACGGGATGCGCTGCCCAGAAAAAGCGAGCTCAGGATTGCCCTCACTTCGCTCCTGCCTGTGTTCTTTCTAGAGGTGGACTCCCAGCGGCTGCACTCATGTGACTCCAACATAAATAAGCAGACCAAATAGCAGGGCAAGGGGTTCGCTATCCTGCCCATTAGGGAGTGCGGGTCGAGGATCTGGATTGAGCCCCGGCAGGGCAGGGCGCTCCCAGCCTATGGGCTGGGAGCCTCAGACGCCGAGAGGGGCTTAATCCATCATGAGCCGAGAACTTGAATGTCTCTCTTGGAAGCAGTTGTATTTTTAGGCATCCTTCCTTTGCTTCCCCCATCCTCCATTCCTTAACCGCGGAAAGACCAGCATCAGGCAGTAAATTGCGAGGTCAGCCAACCTCGACTGCTAAGTTTGTTTCCCTTCATTATGTATGAAGAAAAGCCTCGAAGGTGGGTCTTCCTTACCATCTGACTTTTGTCAGTATTTCACGTCAGATGGCAATACATTATAAAGGAGTTCAGCCTTCAAGGGAGCTGAAGGAATAATAAACTAGGGAGTTAATTACTAGCTATTAAACTAATTTTAAAGATCTGTAAACGATTGTTGAAATCCATTCCAATTTTCCTTACATTCTGTCTGCCAAGAGCCAAAGCTGCCTTACTAAGGAGAAATGCATGTGGGTACCTTCTTTCCCAAAGATGCTCAGCATCGTGGTGCACCTTATCAGTGCCCAACAAAATGTTAGCCCTTCCCTCTTCTGGGAGAGCCACCCTGCCAACTGAGTCTGGGTTTCTTTCTAAAATGTCTGGATCCTGAATCCTTAAAATAACTGCAGATCTCCAGATTATTGCATTAAAGATGCTGCAGTCTAGGGATCACTTAAAACAGCAGTGTCTATGTTACAACTACACAATAAATGTGCTTATTTTGGGGGGTGACAGATGAACAGTAGCTACTCTTTTTTTTTTTTTTTTTTTTTTTTTTACAATCTGTACTTACTGGTGCAGCCTCTTCTTAAAACAAAATTTTAAAGGCTTATAGATGTATTCTCTCTACTAACTCCTCTCTAACCTACCTAGTATTTCTCTCTACTGAAAACCAACTAAGTTCCAAGGAGACATTGATTTGCAAACATTGTAAAGAGCTGATTACGGTTTGCTTTTCCACTGCTTTTCCACCAGTGGAGAAAAGATTCTGCCTGTATTGATATAATGGAGGGGATCAAGGGCCAAAGCTCTTTACCCAGGCACCAATTAAAAGCAAAATTCTTCCTAAGTAATCCCACATTTTCAAAGGGTAATTTATTCTAAAACATGAATTATTTCATAAAGGATAAAATACCAAAAGGCTTCTGAGTGATATCTGAACCTTTCAAATTCATACAATGCCCTTAATTTTAGCATCTCTATTATAGGAGGGAACACAACCAATGGAACAGAAAATGTTTTACTCTGGGGATCCAGGAGGATTGAAATTTTTAGAAGCTCACAGATATCCACAAAGACACATCTGTGCATTTACCTACCAGGCTTTATTATAAACTACTAAACTTCCTATAGGATAGTGCATTGATTGTTGCCACCTTCCCTTCTTAAAAATGACCTCATGAGAGAAAGATGAAGAAAACAAGCTCTCACTTAGGGGAGATGTCATTCTACAAATCATCATTATTATGTGGACTGCTATACCTAGTTAATTGCCTTCTCATTTGAATATTAGGATTCTGAAGAGTGCTGTTGGCACATTAATAAGGGGTCAGAAAGCTATTATGGCAGAGTGGTTGGTCTTCTTTTTTTTTTTCTTTTTAAGATTGTAATTTTCCCACAGTAGGAAAAAAAAAATCTTTCTCCTAGAGATTCTAGGGGACTTCTCAAAGTCCCTGATGAGATTTAGCAGGATACCTTTAAGGGAGTTCCTCTGAGGGAGGAGAGGAGGCCAGAAGGAAGAGCTCAGTTACATAACCAGTTACCTAAAACTAAATATTCCACCCCAAGAAGCTGTCCAGATGTTGCAAGAAGAGATGAGTAAAAATGCTGCTTGCCTTTAGCCGCAGGAACAGTAATAGGTCGGAGACAATTTTGTGAAGGGATTTATTGTCAGAAGACTGACGTAGTTCTGGTGTTCTCCCCGAAATGAACTCCCTATTAATTTTCTGCAGTAAATAAGCCGTCTGCCTGCCAGTATGTGACCTTTATTTTTCATCCAGTGATGAAAATTGCTTTTGTCTTTATAAAATAGTAACTTTTGTGACTGTTTTAGTGACTAAACATTGACAAATTCCTCTGCTTAGAGACTTGAACCTCCTGTACAGCTCCCTTGGGCAATCTTCTGATTCCCATAGGACAAAGGGAAAGGCTTTTGCCAGGGAAATCCTCAACCACCACTTTGAGTCCCCACATTTGGTTCCTAATAACGGTCAGCACTCCTTCAGCTGCCAGCTGGGAAGGTTTGAAATGAGCGATGCTGAAATATCACCTACAGAGTGTGTGGGAAAGGGGTTTGGGGGGGGGGGGAGAAGGCGTTCTCTCAAATTGTTTTATCACCTTCTATCAATGACTACAACAGCGTTTCTCAAGCCCTAATCCATCTACCCCACCCCCTGGCCCCTACATCCGGCGGCACCTCACTTAGTGGGTAGCCCCGGGGTGGGGGGTACACATGTGGTGGGACCTGGAAGCGTGGGATGTTGCTGCAGCCAAGCCTGTACCCTCTGACTGTCTTCCTCTGCTTTGCAGCAGCAGGAGGTGGCGGAGCAGCTAGTGGGCAGCCGGCGCCCCCACTACACAAGCCTCTGCCACAGAGACTAGCCCCGCGCGGCACCGGCTCACCATGATCGCCACCGGTGGCCTCCTGAGGATTTCCGCCAGAAAGCAGGATCCCCTCCGCCCCCCAACCCAGGTCCCCAAGCGCAAGCGGAAAGCCAAGAAAAGGCGCAAGAACGATGTAGTGGTGGTGAAAGGCAAGCTAAAGCTGTGCTCCATCTCGGGGCTCATTGCCCTCTGCGGGATCCTGGTGCTGCTGGTGGGCATAGCCATGGCGGTGGTGGGCTACTGGCCCAAGGCCAACGGGACCAACAGGGAAGGGGGTAAGCAGCTGCCGGCCGCAAGCAGCGGCCACCGCGTCCCGACCACGGCCAATAGCGGCGGCAGTGGCAGCAAAAACCGGTCCAGGAGCCACCTGGGGGCTCCGGGGGGTGTCAACTCTAGTTTGATGGGCGCGCCGCGGAGCACACCTCCAGCGCGGCCCGCCGGCCCTTCGTCCTCTTCCACGTCTGTGGGTTTCTTCTTCCGCATCTTCTCCGGATACCTGCACTCTGACAAACTCAAGGTCTTCGGGCCCCTCATCATGGGCATCGGCATCTTCCTCTTCATCTGCGCCAACGCGGTGCTCCACGAGAACCGAGACAAGAAGACCAAGATCATCAACCTGCGGGACCTCTACTCCACCGTCATCGACGTGCACAGCCTCCGCGCCAAAGACCTGGCGGCTGCAGCGGCTGCGGCGGCTGCCGCCGCCTCCTCGTCCTCCGCCCCCGCCTCGGCGCCCCCCGGAGCCCCGCCGCTCAACGGCTTCCTCAGCTACGTGCAGTCGCGGGGCCTGGAGCTGCAGCCCGGGAGCTGCGGCGGCAGCGCGGGGGACGCCTTCGGGGCGGCGGTGCTGGCCAGGGGCTCGTGGTCCCACCCCGCCGTGCTGGGCGGGGGCGGCGGCGGGGCCAAGGGCGCCGCGTCCCCGCCCGACCTGGTCTCGTCCCCGCGCTGCTCGCGGGAGCCCCCGAAGCTGGCGGAGGCCGTGTACAGCATCTACCGCGAGCGCTCGGGCGTGGCCAGCCGTCGCCGGGCCGCCGCCGCTGCCGCCGCCGCTGTGGCCGCTGCCGCCGCCGCCACCACCGCGGTCGCCAGCAGCGGCAGCAGCCCGGCGCCCTGCAGCCCACCCGAGAGCTGGGGGCGCCAGAGCACCACCAGCTCCCTCGTGGGCTCCTCGCTGAGCGCCTTCGCGCTACTACCCTTGCAAGGGGACCGCGACGGGGACGGGGATGGGGACGCGGAGGGCACGAGCTGCAGCTGGCAGAGGCCGCCTGGGGAACGTGGCTCCCGGGAGATCCCGCGGGGCGAGCTCGACCTGGGCTTGACCGACCTCCGCGGTGCCCCGGGCGGCTCGCGCTGGGCGCCCAGCGAGCTGGAGGAGCCCGAGGGCGCAGCGGCGGCGCGCACCGCCAGGGGGCAGGGTGGCCGCCTGCCCAGGACCGGCAAGTACGCGGCCCTGCGGCGCCGCAGCACCAGCGGGCTCCCGGACTACCGGGCGCCACCGTCCCCCGAGCCCCCACCCTCTCCGCGCAGCGCGGAGCTGGACTCGAGCCTTCTGGCCAAAGCTGCCTCCCCCTCCCCGCCCCTGCGGCTGGAGGACTCACCCCCAGCCAGGCCGGACTCGTCGAATGACCCATCCTGCTGCAATAAGGGCTACACCCCGCTGCGGGAGGCTGGCACCTCTTTGGAGTCGGTTGTGGAAACAGCCCGTGAAAGGCCAGACTGTGAGGCCGCCACGGCCCCGGGGGCGCAGCAGAGGCCCCCGGAGGATCCCAGCCAAGGGTCACCACCCGCGGCCCGGCCACCTCAGCTGGTGCAGAGGCAGTTTACAAACAAGGAGAAACTCTTCATGATTTCCCGGTCTCACGCAATAGGGGTAGAGGATGGAGAACTGGAAAGTACTGGCATTTAGGAAAAGAAGGAGCGAGAGGGGGCAAAAGAGTCAGAGATTTGGGGAAATGCCCATTTGAATCGGTGAATTTAACATTTCCCTATTTCCTTGTGGACTTACCGGAGGAAATCATCCAATACCCAAAGAGCTGCAGAATGTTATCCTTGAATTGCGTTCACAAGATTCCTGTAGATAACTCCAAGCAATTTTTTTTTTTAAAGCAAACTAGTCTTTTATGTCCGATGGTGATTGTATGTTCCATGAAAACCAAATGTATTAAAAGGTCAGCAATCTAATTCATTAGATAAAATTCTCTTAATTTTCTTAGGATCAAAATAATATATTTTTTTGACAGTAACTGTGCACTTTACTCCAACTTTTTTCTCCCCCTCATTTCCCTAACCCTGTTCTCTGCCGCTGGTTTTGTCCATAGCTGCTTGTGAATGACAAGCTTTCCTTCTCCTGTGCTTTTGTGGAGCATAGAAGGGTTTGTCGAAGTTCTTTGAGAACTGACCTTACTAAATGAAGTCAAAGCCAGAAGCAAAGAGTATGTCAGGAAAGAGCACTTTCCTTGCCCTGCCCTACTCTGCTCCAACAGCTCAAAGGCCTCTTTATTTTTTAAAAGGGTATTTACATTTTGCTACTAGGGGATCTAATGGAGGAGGGGATGGGCATCATCTACATGGATTGTTACATTCCTAAGTTCACTATATCAAGTTACACAATACTTTATTGAGTATTATCACACCTGTATTGCATATAGCATTATTAAAATCTTTTTTAATAAAAGAAGTTTCCAAACAAACAGTTAAACATAATATCGCTTCATTTTGCCTTGGAACTAATGCTTCTAATACACATTAAACATTTAACAGTTCAGCTGGTCAATCTAAAATATTTTGCTATGACACTGTACTATGATTGTAGCTATATCCTCCCCCAAAGTGCTCAGTGCTATCGTGACTCCATCCATTTCCAGTATATTTTTAACTTTTAAATATAGGGTAGTATTGAACATTTGGGAGTTTCTCTTTCAAATAGAATGAAACATTAAATAAATAGTAATTTTCTATAATACTTCTAAGTTTACCTCAAAGTATTAATTTACAGAGCACCAGGCTTAATGGCCCCTTTTCATCCTCTTGGATTTGACTTATTTGGTTTTGATTTTAAGTTCATGATCTTGAATCCATGGCCTACGTAGGCTAAAAAGGTAATGTTTTAATAATTTGGTACATTGTTTACACTTGGTTTTATTAAAAGTCAATTATTAATTACTCTTCAAGAACAGTAAACGATGTACCTTTCTGATGCCCTCTTCTTTTGAATGTGAGGACTTAGAAGTCAGGAGTGGTATTACTTTCTTTTGACCATTTGGGCATGAGACTATCATTGTAGGAGGCTCAAATACTGATTTTATTTTATTTTATTTATTTTTTAAAGATTTTATTTATTTGACAGAGAGAGAGATAGCGAGAGCAGGAACACAAGCAGGGGGAGTGGTAGAGGAAGAAGCAGGCTTCCTGCCGAGCAGGGAGCCCGATGTGGGACTCGATCCCAGGACCCTGGGATCATGACCTGAGCCGAAGGCAGACGCTTAACGACTGAGCCACCCAGGCGCCCTCAAATACTGATTTTAAAGGAAAACGAGCCAAAGATGTGGTTATGTTAGTCCCCATGGGTGAAGCAATGGGTCTAGGGGAAAGAGTACAGATTCAGGAGTGAGACTAGACCCCCAGCTCTCAGCATTTGCTAGCTGTATAACTTTGAACAGTCACAAATGCTGTCTCAGTCATTCGATCTATAAAATGGGGATAACTAGACAGACCTCAGAGAGATACGAGCAGGTGGGCAAGGAGTTATATGTACAGAGGGGAGCAGAGTACCTGGCTCAGTGTACTGGGTAAATGGTTATTGTAATTATTATTATCATTATAATAAGTTGTCTGCATGCACACTGCAGAAGAATAAGCCTTCCTTCAACTTGAGCTCAAGAAAGCCTGGGTAAAACCTGGAATATCCACTTACTATCTGCATAACCTTAGGCAAATCACTTATCCCTCTGGGCCTCTGGTGGACGTTATAATCTCTCTGATTGCCTTCAGCTCTAGAAGCTTCACTTCATTTCAGGGTACTTGTTCTGTCCTGGATATAATCATATTTGTACATACAACTGCAAAGTGAGTATACTTTGTAATCTACCATTTAGTGTGACATTCTGTAATCAATTTAAAAGGACCTAATTTATTTCCACATTGGATCTACATTAAGCTATTAACTCACTTAAAGCTGTGGATTAATTTATTTGGCTCTTCTGTATAGCAAAAGTGAGTTTCCATTAGTAAGAGTCACAAGCAAGTGTAATGATACCTCCAGGTAGTGTTAAATTTCATTGGTCTCTATTATTTTATCATACTTCCCTCAAATTTCTAATTTCCCTAGTTTCTCTTCTCCATTATCTTGCATAGTGGGCCAGGATTTATACAGAGTTTTGAGGATTATCTGGACCTGTTGGCAGATGCAGAACCAAAATTGGCATTTCTGGAGACCATCAGAATATTTTCTACCTTCTTCGCTTCCTGCTAGATCCTTTCCTGAAGACTGTTCTTAGAGACTTGCAGAGAAGTGTTAGGATGCACAGCTAGTTTAAAAGTTGGAATCTGTGTTTAAGTCTTCAGGCTGGCATAAACAAGGTTTTTCTCTATGTGACTTGGCAAGGTTTGTTGTACCCAAATCAATAGGACTATTTGAAGGGATCTTAGAGATCATGGAATCCCTACCCGCGTTATTTATAAATGGCGTTTGCTAGGAATCAGAAAGATGGGACAATTTGTTCAAAGGCAAATAGCAGTGGTAGGACTAGAAAGCTAAAATAATTGCAACAGTTGGCATATGCATCTCCCCTCCCCCACCACCCAGTTTTCCTTACCCTGTACGAACTAGCTGGGTGACAATGGGCAAGCTACTTAGCCTCTCTGTGTCTCAATTTTCTTTTCCATACAATGGGAATAATAATGCTCCCTCCCTCTCAGGACCTGACCAAAGATTCAATGAATTACTATCTGTGTAGACAATTTATGATAGGCTTGGCACGTGGAGAGTGTCATGAAAAGTTTTATTTAAAATAGAATTAAGCTGTTAAAACCATTTTGTATGACCTTCCTTTTTAAGAACAGAATAATTTCAGGTTTAAAAATCTAAAGTATAAGGCAACACAGCAGAGTGGCTCAAAGCATGACTTGGAGAGGCACAGAACACTTTACCTGGGTTTCCACATCTGTTAAATAGAGATAATCAAGAGCAACTGACTCATGGAATTAATTATTTAAATGAGGGCTAAATAAACTAATAGACTCAAAGAACTTAGAACCACTCCTGGCACAAATAAGCCTTCAGTCAATGTTAACTGTTATTATTAAGGCAAAATACAGAAAATTAATTAGTAGGCTAAATTTACTACTCAGTTGCTAGGGACAACCATAAACTTACTGTACTGAGAAGTCTTTATAGTTTGAGTATATTAGAAAGAAAAAATTAGACCTTAAGAAATGAGGATCTAGGCCCCTGCAATGTCCTCAATAGCAAGTAAAACTACTGAGAGCTAGGTATGGGCCCTCATGGTCCCATTGTCATAATATCATATAATTACGAATGTGGCCGCAAACTGCTTCCATGGCTATATGAGGTCACGGGTATTCCTTTTCCACAACGGAGGCTGGTTGCATCAGGAAGGCCAGGCTAGCCCTGTGGTCCAGGCCCTTTCTGTCAGAGGCGTGGCCTGAAAGAAAGGCTCCAGGGAAGACATACACGGGGCAAGTGCCTGTTGATCCATTTACATTTTTAGACAAAAGTTGTTTTTTTTTCATACTAGTTTTCTCTTTAGTCATTTTGGGTTCTTTTTAAAGACGGAGTTTTGAAAATTTCCTCTTTGAATTTAGGAACTTTAAAAAAAAAAAAAGCCCTCCAGCAACATAAAATTAGAACAAACTAAATCTATGAATTCATATTTGGTCAAAATAGCATTTTTGTCAAGAGACAAAATAGGATTTTGTCAAGAGACATAAATAATTTTATAGTCAAATAAAGAATAGGATGGATATTTGTGGAGTTTGTTTTCTATAGACCCAGACTATTTACTTTTTATTTTTTTGTCTAAAAATCATTGGGTGAATATTTAGACTAAGTTTTTGAATGACTAACTCTGAAAAGCATTTGGAGACTTTTTTTTTTTTTTTAATCCTTGGGAAATCATCTGAGGTTTTTTCCTTCAAAAAAGAATGAGTGTCTTTAAATGGAGGTGCAAATTATATGTGTTTTATATTAAGTCACTACAAATTGGGGGGTCCATGTGCATTAACAACTTTAGTCAAAGACTGCCTGCCAGTCTCCAAAACCGGATGAGCTCCTTATTATATGTGACATCTATTTCTTTATGAGGTCAGGAAAACACTGGGCTCGTGGTGGGTCTATATATGGGCATGAACCACAGTAGGAGTTATAAATGCCTGCCATCCTGGGAATTCCTCCTTCACCCCTGAGCCGGGGGTTGCTACCATCTGAAAATATATATTTATTCAACTTTCAACTGACTCCCAACCCTCACCCCATCCATCATGCTAGCCTGTGATATGGCCCTGGTGGACAAACAGGATGGTTGGCTCATTCATTGCTAAAAGTACAGAGTTTCTTCTGCTCATGATGTTGCCAGCAAAAAGATTTAAAAAAAGCTTATGCAGATTCACCTGGAATATCACGAAACATGTCCCTGTCTCAATAACCTGTGTAGCTTGACCTTTGCTTCAGACCTTGCCCACTAAGGGCAAGAAGGTTGGCTGTCAAACACAAGGGAGGAAAATGGGGAGCAGACCCAGAGATGGAAGAAAAAGAGAATCCTGTGGGAAAAAAACAAAAGATAAAGTTAGATTAAAGTCACAATGCCTTTTTTTTTGTTTCACAAATGAGCACGTGGTCATTTGGTTTGGAGATCATTTGTTTGTAGATAAGTGTCTTAAAATGAAACATTATGGTAACTTTTATTCCTTAGAAAATATTCTTTCAGCAAATGCATGGCTGGACATTAAGTTGTATATTTTTTAATATTTAAGAAATTCAACATAACACTGTGTTGTTGACACAAATCCACTTGATTCTAAGAATTGCTAAACATCTAATTATGTTCAATAATGGAGAGGAAACTCACCGGCAAATTCACAAAGAATTGCTTTTGCGTTGAGAAATTTGAGTACCTTTAAGCTATGTCTATACTTTCAAAGAAAGAAAATATGCCAGTTATCAGTTATAACTGGCGTATTAGGTCAATTGAAGCAAGGCAGGTCAAAAAATATTTTGTCTTCGTGTAGGTCTCTGGCCATTGCTTTGTTTTATGTACTAATTGCCTTATTACTCCATTTTTCATAGACATAACTTAAAAGAAAATCATTTCACCTATAGGAGTAAACAGCTTTGTCTGAAGCAGCTGCCCTTTTGGTGAAATACACAATTCCTTTTGGGTTAAATTGTTTTATCTCTTTTTCAAGATACATTTTTAACTGCCCATCGTAAGTCAGGTAGGCACCGTGCCAGGTGGAAAGGATGAAACTTTAAGACACCATTCCAGACCATGGGTCTTGCAGATCTCCTTGGTACAGGCACACAACCAATAATTTCAATATAATGTAAGTATCACAAGTATCATGATGTGGGCCCTGCAGCTGAATCTTGAGAAATGCAGAAAATATCAGCCAGGTGCAAGAAGGTGGGAAAGGTGTGTCAAACGGTGGAATCAGCATGAGCAACTACATGGATGCAAAACACAATTCAGCAAGCTAGATTTTCATAAGACAACTTATACGTGACTTCTCCCTAGAATCCCCACAATTTCAGAGTGACATGTTTACTTGGAAAAAAAAAAAAAAACCCATAAAACAACAAAAACCCTATCCATCTATCTCCTTTTATAAGTAGTAGAAACATATATTAAGATGAAAGTGATTTGGGCATTAAAATGCTCAAAATGTGTATTTTTTACCATTAGATATTTAATTATTCCCCATTTGGAGCTGGCTTCAATGAGCAAGAATTCTTTACTGAAAGGTATCAGAACAAACCATATTCTCATTGGACCTAAACTGTCTTCATGAGTAAGAATGATTTTTGCCGAATTATATACTGCTTTAAAATAATTTAATTTAAATGTTCAAGTGCTGGAAACCATTTCTCTAGATGTGGTATAAAGGG